CCTCAGCTCCTATTCTCCCCACCTTGGATCCTCAGACACATTTGACGAGTCATCTTTCTATTTCTACAGTAATGGTCAGTGTTTGTCCTTATGGGAGTGGATTAGTTCACTTAGTATAATGCTTGCCAGTCCCTCCAAAGTTAGGTAGTAATTTTCAAAATCATTGTTCCTACTTGCTGCATAGTATTCCACTGTGTGAATGTGCCATAATTTCTCAATCCTTTCCATTGTGGTTGTACATTTGGGCTGTTTCCATGTTCTTGTGATGGTGAATAATGCTGCTATGAACACTGGTGTACAAATCTCTGCCTCAGTTCTCATTTTGGGGGGTATATTCCAAGCAGTGGGAAAGCTGAGTTATATGGAATTTCTATGTTCAACTTTTTTTTTTCTTTTACCACAATGAGATACCATCTCACCCCAGTATTAGTGGCAAAGTTTAACTGATAGCAAGTAACAAATGTTGGAGAGGATGTAGAGAGGTGGGAACTCATATACTGTTGGTAGGAGTGTAAAATGGTACAACTACTTTGGAAGGTAAGCCTCCGGAAACTCTATGAACTTTGATAAATGTCGCTAGTTGTAGAGGGGCTTCAGGCCTTTTGTTCATAGCATTGCAATGAGTCATACTTGACTCGAAGGCAATCAACAACAACAACTCTGGAAGGCAGTTTGGCATTTTCTTAAAAAGACTATGCTTTTGTAGAACTTGTCCTCAGTCGTCTTCCTCTTTTTTGCATTCTCCAACTCAATATTTCTCAGAGCATTTTTCCTGCCCTTATTATGTTTACCTCCCATGCTATTTACTGCCTCAGAAAACCCAATGGAGGGCTAGCTATGAGTTGGTGCCAACTCCACGGTACACCACCACCACCACCACCACCACCACCACCAGCACAACAACAACAACAACAACAACAACAACAACAATATTATGGTCCAAGCTAGTTAGATAGTGCAGCATGATTTCAAACTCTGGGCTCCAGGGAGTCACAGAAGTAGAAGAGAGGCTTGAGAAGGGGGACACTAGCATGATTATAACTCCACTAAAACAAAGCTTCCTAGGTAAAGAATGGTTAAGAGAAAATAATTAAGTGGCC